ATTTGAAATAAAAAGTGACGTAATTGTTTTCTTGTTAAAAATCTCAAATTTTTCCTCTGAATTAAAACCATATTTTTTATTTTCATTTATCTTAAAACCAATGTTATTATTTACAAAAGTGATTTTGTTAGCGAGATCTCAATACTTTGTGTGTTCTCCACGGTGGATTTCTAATTTATGAACTGCTGTGTCATTTTGAAGTAATGTGAAATGTGAGAATGTGATTAAGAGGCCTGTTCTTAAAAGGGATGATTACCAGCAGGCCCCCCCTCCCCTTCACCTGGAGAAAATGACATTATTTTCTGTTGCTAGACAGAAAGAGCAATTGTAAAGTATGTTACTTTAAAAATGCATACATTTATTATGAATACGTGCCTTGAGTGAGACAATTTTGGACTAATTTTTCAGCATTTCAGTAAGTCGCAACTGCAGTTTTATCCTAATAGGCATCCCTTGATTATAAAACTCAGAAAGATCTTATATAATATGTGGCATGGACACATATATTAAGCCGGGGTATAAAAAAACTGCCAGAAGAAGTTTCCTTGGGAAAAGTGTGTGGAGGAATTCAAAATATTGATCTACTGTGGCCATAGATAGTGATTAACACTCGTTCCACCTGGCAACACTAAGCTCTATGTGGCAGCTAGAAAAGAGGAACCTAACATAATGCTAAGGATTCGTTCTGAAAGTAGAGAGTCAGTTTGGTGTATTCAAGCTAATCCTTTTATTTTTTCAAAATGCTCTCCATTTTCTTGGTATAATGATTTCAGTTCACTTTTTGGTTTACCTGCACAGCAGGTGCAGAAATGTCCCAGTAATATTGGAGAAAGGTATATTCAAAATGTTATATGGGCATTTTATACCTTAAGAAAATATCACCAGACTACAGAGGATTTGAGACCAAAAGGTAACAAGGTTACCGAAAATTAAAAAACTGCTTAATGAACTTGATGCTCCATCCCAAGCAATTTATTCTTTATCAAGAATATTATATTTATGTATACAATTTAAACACTTTGTATCTCAGCTTATATCTGATCCTCATGGCAATGAAATGGTTGTGATGTAAATGCAAGTAATAAATCCTGTGAACATCCAGGGCCCGGTTTAATCCAAAATGAGCAAAATTAATTTAGATAAGGCACTAAAAAAAATCAATTTATTAGAACTTAGCATAAATGTACCTTAAAGGAAACTAACATTCAGAAGCAAAGATAGCCTGAGAAAAACAAACCCAATCACAGATACATCTTTACCTTCAATAGTCCTTCAGCACTTACTTATAGCACTGCTTGAAATTATTTATCATATTTAACTTTAGATGTTAGAATGAAAAACAAAAGAAAGCAAAGTCAGCGGAAATATAGAGCCTCTGGAATCACAGATTCCCTAAAAAATAAAAATCCTTTGTCTAAAGAGAGGAGGTCTGTATTTTATAAGTTCATCCCTGACTTAAAATGTGTCCAGAACTTTCCAGGTGACCTAATGCATTTCTAAGGAAGCCAATTCTTTTTCTGATTAGAAATTCACAAATTTCTAAACACACTACCACCGTGTGGTACCAGGTAAAATGATGCCAGTACTTACCATCTGAAGAAATGACTTTCACTGTCCACATCATTTTTAAGCCCCACATTCTTTCCTAACCTTGTCGCAAAGCAGATGAATTACACTAACTTATATGCAAACGGTTCATTTGCAGTTTCCAACCTTATGGACTTCAAACTCTCTCCCAATCCTAATGAGAATCCTCAGTTATATTCACTTCTGTCTATGTTGTACATTGTGTCTTCAGGGGCTGACTCATTCCACACTCTACTTATGTAGCTTATCATTATCTTGTCCACAGACAAAATTTACATTGAATTCAGATGAGAATGCCCACTAACTTGAGAATCTTGAGAAAGGTATCAGGATTGTGGTCCAAACAACATGACCACCAGGGACAATATTACAGCCAGTGTGTAATTATTTTCCACCTCTAGAAGTACAAAGTAGAAAACACAACAACAACAAATTAGAGTAACTCCTTATAATGCATTTCTCTTAGTAGTTTATTTTGGGGGGGATTATTCTTCATAGAAATTGGCAAAATCTAGAAAAACTCTGTATGTTACTCTAACGGCTTTATTTAATAATAATTATATAACTCACTTCCCCACTTAATAAAAATTTCTCACTTTCTCTTATGTTCATTAAATTTTAAATTACTTAGGCATTTGTCTAATTAGCTTCACTTTGAACAAAGATATAACCTGATTATTGCATGTTGTTAATATGAAAATGAACAACAGAGACCTTTCTGATTGAACGTTTTTACTGTCTACCTCAAGACAGGTGTTCTACATTATACAGACGTTGCAGACAGAGGGCTTCTTATGTTTTACGCACTATAACATTAAGATATTACCCCCCTCATTATAACATTCCAAAAATTATTAGTGCTGCCTCTGCTATCTACATTTTAAAAATACTTAACCTTCGGTAAGTTAATCTATTGTGCTTATGTCAAAATAAGGAGAGAAAACAACTCAAATTTTCTACCAAGTTCAACCAAAACTTCCTGCTTCACTTAGTTGCCACAATTCTGGAATCAGACTCCAAGTTTATAAAAGAAAAACAGAAATTCACAAGGCAGAGCTTCAAGTTAAAATACCTTAGGAGGATGTTAGTTATGTTATACCTAAAACATTTTACAAGCTCCAAACCCTCCACTAGAACAGTATTTTAGGAATCTGAAATTATTCCTGCACTTCTCACCACCCAAGAATCTGACAGCTTGTATGAAAAATAGTATGTGTGCAGCAACTCCTTGGTGAGTATTTCCTTTAAGTTTTAAGGCATTCAAATGATTGAGTCTTCTTTCTAAGAACTACTGAGGAGGTTTATGAAAACACATAGCAGACTATTCATGTGTAATTCTCTCACTGAAATCAATTGATTTCTGTTAGTACAATACATTAGGACTAATTAAAAATACCATATCCAGCAGCCAGTCTGTACCTTTCCATACATCCTTCTCCAGTATCCAAAAGCATGCACTGCTCTGTCTTCCATCATGCTTCTTTTATTGCTGAGTGAGGCGCTCGTTCCTTCATTAAATAGCATTAAAAATAGACAGCGCAGAACTCCCCAGTGGAGCATGCTCTAACAGGGCTAATGCCACAGTTCTCAAGGTAACCATACTCAGCTGGGATCTAAGAGGGAAAGTCACTGGGAGATCAGCAATTAGCAAATCTATAGCTCACACAAACCTGTCTCTGTCTGAGTTGAATACTGTAAAAGAGAAATCAGCCTGTAGTGAAATTAAGTCACTGAGAAGCTCAAAGTCAATTTCTGAAGCTGTAGAAGTTTCTTTAAATATGCCTTACCTAAACCAAGTATTCTGTTAAGTAGGCATTCATCTACAGCAATTGATTTGTATTACTATTTATCAAATAACGTAAGTCATGTCAAGAGGAACGGAGCCATATATGCATAGCATCTAAATGTCTTAAAAACAGCATATAAACCAAATTATTCAAAGCAAACAAATAGTATTGATAAGCAAGGACAGTAAGAGGTTAGCCTTTTGAATCTTTTGTGATGAAGTGTATTCCTTAAAGAATATCCTAAAGTTCCCCAGAAAATTTAAAAATATTCTGTTAGTTGAAATGATAAAAAGAAGTAAAGGAATGGGATAGAAGAGGAAATACGGGATAAAACACAAATACATACCTTACAAATCCATATTAAACCTGAAATGAGCACATATATAATTTTTCACATGTGATCCACGTTAGGAGTGCAGCAGAAACGATTACTGCCAAAATAGTACATTACTTGGCTATTAGAACAGAACATGGCTAGAGCTCTTGGCTTCCAAATGACTGTCTTTTGTGAAAATGACATTAACTAAAATCCTATTAAGACATACAAGTCCCATGGTGACACAAATACAGAGGATCAAAGGAGTAGGTGCATTTATTTTAAAGTGTATGTCAAAGGTTTTCTAACTTTTACCAAAAGAAAAATGATTTCCTGTCATCTCCATTTCTGTTTTCTTAAAACAATCATAGTGATTTTGATCTCCAAAGTAGGTGAGGAGGAGGTGGAAATCATTTGGAATTATTCAGCATTTGAACAAAATCTTGTACAGATTCATTCAACTTTGGGGAATGTCATTCTTTTTGGAGAGTCTAAAGTGTCATACCATTAGCCTTTAAAAATCAGAAATCAAAATGGGTATCTGCACTCTGAACACATTCTCAAGAAATGATTCTACCAGCCTTGCCCTTTGCTTACTAGCTTCCCATCCCTTTGTAACTTTCAATGCCCCCTTTGCCTTTCCTTTTAGGCTTGGTCTCTGTCCTTATCTTGTATCTTAAGGAGGTGATCAAGTGCTGAGCCTGAGCAGCTGTCAGCAACCACATCCACTCCAGCTCTATTTCTATGCATAAACATTAACTGAGTCCATTTCTCTTGCTAGAAAACTTTCTAAATATATGATCAGTTCAGCTCAATTCCACCACCATATCTACAACCCAAGACAGAAGTTAAGTTTGGAGTTTGCAATGAAACACAGATTTCAAAAACATGTAAAAATAAAAGGTAGTATCTTTTCCTCCAAAAGCCCTTGGGAGCCAGACCCTGAGTTCCGCAAGAACAACAAACTGATTACAACTTTTTTGCCTCCTGCATAGTTCTCTTTCCAATGAAATAGGAGGATCCCAAACTTTCTACCGTGAAACCTGCCTAAATCACTGTAGATTTCTCTGATGAAAAGAACTGCCCTTCTCAGTTCTCTTCCAGCTTTCCTGGTCAGCCTCATCTGGGGGAGGGGAGTCTACCCCTCCGTTGATGAAACATAAAAACACAATACATGTATAACATCAACAGTTTTCTACAAACATGAAGGAGAAATACAGACGAGAAACACAGATATACGGCAGAAAGGAGGAGAAAAAAAAAATCACAAAAGACGTGCAATGTTCACGTCGGAAGACCTTGATTATTACCTTGACCGAACAGTGGGTATCCCCCCAGCGTCTTGGTGCCTTGATTGATTTGATTTAGTTTTTGATTTTTATTAATATTGTTTCTCAATGATTGAATTGGCTGGATTTGTTTGGTTTAGCTTGGCTTTTTTTTTTTTTTTTTTTTTTGGTCGATTTATTTAACTGCTAGTAAAACGAGCTTTCTGCAGCGTCGGCGGCTGGGATCCACGCGCGGCTGCGGCGACCGTGGTGGCTTTGGCTGACGACCCCGCTGCCCCCGCTGCTTGTCGCTGCTCCGGACGAGCTCAGGGGGCGCCGCCGCCGCCTCCTCTGCCCGGCTGGCTCCGGGAAGTGAAGGAGCCCCCGCCTCCTGTCTGCCAGTCTGTCCCTCTGCACGTCTGTCTGCCTGACTGTCCCTCAGCCGGGCGGCTCAGCGCTGGATTCTCGCTCTCCTGCGCTCTGCTCTCGGAGCTGCCACTCGCGCCGGCTGGCAGTCGGTGCGTGTGTCGGTCTGTCGGTCCCTCGGCGTGTCTCGGTCCCACTAGCAATTCAAGGTCCCTGTTCCGGTCTTCTGTGCCGGGATCGCTCTCCAGCTCCCACTCGGTGCCCTGGCCTCTTCCTTCGGACAGCGGAGGGCGTCTGGAGGGGAGGATGCGCGCGAGCGCTGCTCGCTCGCTCTCTCCCTCTTTCTCTCCCTCTCCCTCTCGCGCCCTTTCCCTCTGTCTCTCTCCCTCTCTCTCTTTCTTTCCCTCTCTCTCTCCTTCTGCCTCTCCTCAGCGTTCTGCTCTCCCTGACTCAAGCTGTCTAACTGCTTCCACCTGTCCGTTGCTCTGTCACTCTGTCGTCCCACCCCGAGCCAGCCAGCCTCCGTCCGTCCCTCTGTCCCGCGCCCCTGCCTCCCCTCCTCCGCCGCCTGCCCCTCCGCCAGTCCCTGCCCTCCCACGCGCCCGGCTCCTCCCCGCAGCCCCGGCCGCATCCGTCCCCGCCCCGGCCGCAGCCTCCAGCCCCCCGGACCGCCACACCCGGGAGCCGGCTGGGCAAGGCGCCTGCGGGGGCCAAAGCCTCTGCCACTGGGCGCGGCCAGAGTTGGCAGAGAAGGAGCGCGGGCACCTGCCGGGTGCGCCCGGCGCGCAGTGCCATCCATTCCCCGCGGCAGTTCTCCGCCAGCCCCGAGGCTGGAGACAAAGCGCCGGAGCCACGCGCGGCAGCGTGAGCGTCATTAATCGCCTCCCCGCTCCCCGCCTCCGTGCCCGAGCCCTCCGGCGTACCTCTCCCGGGGGCACCTCCGACTCCTGCGGACACTTGCCCAAGCCCAGCTCACTCCCTTCCTCCGCTGCTCACTCTCCCGGCCAACTCTGCAGAGAATATCCCACAATAATAACACCTCACTCCACCCAAATGAATCCGTAGCCTCCGAGCTCTCAGAGATTCTCGGCTTCGAGCAAGACCAAAAGTCCGGGCGTGCAGCGCCAAGTGCACTCCCCGTGGGCGACTGCCCAGACCGCTGCCCACCCGAGCGCCGATTTAGAATCACAGCGGTGCCGCGGAAAGCCGGGCAGGGTAGGGCGCGGGGCCGGGAACAGAGTTGACATCCGAAGAAATTAAAGCGCTGTATTTCCCGTTTGTTCTGGAGATGTGCTATTTTTATTATCTGTAATTCATTTTTTTTTTTTTTCATTGTCTCGGGGCACTCACTACCAAAAGGGGGAAAAAAAAAAAAAGGAATCATGGAGGAATGGGGATACATTTCCGGAATACCGCCCACCCTTCCTGAGTGAATGTAGAGCCTACTTTTCCAACATTATAGGTCACCAGCCAAGATATATCACTCTGGCTTTCTGCCTCCAGCTGAGAGCAAGGCATTTGATTCTGGGCTTCTTTGCTAGGGTGTTATTAATGTGAAGCAAAATTATAGTTGTACATGCCTGCATGGAATTGCCAAAGCTCATTTTGACAGTATCCAGCATTTCAGTTTCTAAAACGTAGACGCTGAATAACTATGGATCTGGTGCAATAAACGCCCCACAATAAATTGAAGAGGAGAAAATCAACTTTCACCAGCTGCAATTAGTAACCCCATGAATAGACAACAAATAAATAACTAGCATAAACCATGCCATGAAAATTTCCATGTCCTTTTAGTTTCATTTATTGGCATCCATTCCTAATGACAGACATTATAAACAGATTTATTAAGGGATATGCCTTCTACTTTTCATAGGAGTGTAATTTCAACAGCTGTATCCGTGTTCACATATACTAAGATATTGATTAAAAATATCACACGGATGATATGTGTAGTTCTAGAAAATGCTATAAAAATAAGATAATGTTGTCCTGGTCCTTCATGAACAGATAACTATTTTCCAAATATTAGAAATTGTCTCCCTTGGGGATCAGTTCTTGCTGGGATAAGAATGAATCTGCTGTATAAGGTTTCAGCAAATGAAGCCCAAAGAATTTAAAACCCTTATGTTGATCTATTTTCTGAGGATTTCTACTCAGTGCCCTCCAAAAGCATTTTGACAGGCATTCCCCAACCCCCTCCTGCCAGTCATATGGAATTCAAGGGAAAATTAATAAAAAGGTATTTCTTATTCTCTTTCCTTTCTTTCATCTTAAGGCATGTTCTTAAAAAACCTGCTTTTCTTTTGAGGGAAATTGTTGTGCCAAGTTGTGCTGTGTCATAAATTCACACAGTTGGGACTCCATGGGAAGAGGGTCAATGTCCTTGATTTTCCTTCTGGGCAGGGCTACACCTAAGCATGTCTTGAATGGATGGATGGCTAATCTACTAACAAGAAACCTTAACAGCTTGCTTTTAATACACAGTATTCCTAGAACAACTCTGAGAGTTGACCAAAAAAAAAAAAAAAAAAAAAAAAGGAACTGCATCCCACTCCAACCTATAGATTGGATATAGAAATTGAGTTGGGGGAAGGGGGAGTACTCAATCAGTACTATTAGAATTGATTATGTAAAAGAACAAGATAGAATATTTCAAGAACTTCAGTGTATGAACAACAATGATGAAATTTATTGTGATTTTTCATGGATTTTAGCCTTTATTTTAAAAAGAAAGCACCTCAGCAGTTGGGCGGCTCAGTTTGTTGAGCATCTGACTCTTGATATCAGCTCAGGTCATGATCTCAGGGTCCTGGGATGGAGCCCCATGTCAGGCTCCCTTCTCAGTGGGGAGTCTGCTTGAGGATTCTCTCCCTCTCCCTCTGCCTGTGCCCCACCCCCCACTCATGCATGCACTTGCAAGCTCTCTCTCTCTCAAATAACTAAAATAAATCTTTAAAAGAAAGGAAGAAAGAAAGAAAGCACCCCAAGAAGAATAACATTAACTTGCTTCAGTTAAAATTTTCTACCAAGGGTGCCTGGGTGGCTTAGCCAGTTAAGCGCTGGACTCTTGATTTCTGCTCAGCTCATGATCTCAGAATTGCAAGATGGGGCCTAGTGTGGGCTCTGCAATCAGCATGGAGTCTGCTTGAGGCTCTCTCTCTCTCTCTCTCCCTCTCACTCTTGCTTTCGCTCTCTGCCCCTTCCCCCACTTGCACTCACTCTCTCTAAAAATACATAAATAAATCTTTAAAAAATTTTTCTACCTGTTCTCATAATATTTTGTCAAAAATTAGGAACTGGAGAAAGTTCAAATTTATTCAAGTCCATGTAGATAATTAGCATTGGCTCTCCACTTTTAAATTTTGTGTGTCCCAATGTGGGACTAAAATATACTTCTGGGAATATGGGGCAGGCAGTGAGCAATAGGTGATTCTTCTAGACTTTCGGACGCTGTGTTTCCTTAAACAATTGGAAACAGTTGCCATTCCTTCCAGTCCTTGGCCTGTCATGTATTTACTACTAAACTCACGAAAACTGCTGTGCACCTGATTGGGGCCCCGGGTGACAGATCCACAATGCCAGTTGCCGAAGTGTTTATGCACTGAAAGCAGCCCAACTTCAGGGGTAAGAAGTAGTGGTAGTGGGGGAAAAGAAGGCTGTGCTGTTTCTGCCTTCATCTGGATGCTTTTGAATTTATTTGGTATCAGATTGAAATGAAAAAGCATACATATAACCAGGTAACCCCAGCTTGGGGAGTTGAGCTCACCTACACACTGGCAAACATCGAAGATTGTCGACAAGCTCCTTTAAACACATATTCCCCTAAGACACTAAATTAGTGCCCTTTAACGAAGCTTCCAAATTGGATTTTCAAAAGAAGGCAAATAGCTAAAATAGCCCAGCTACCTTCATAAGCACCTTTTCAGCTGAAGCAAGAAGTGGAATTTCCATGCTGTTGAACTTCCATCATTCCTCAACAATTAGGCTGGGAGGAACGCCCCTTTAGGGCATTCTCCCCACCACAGTAAAGGCCCAGAAATCCCCTGGAGAGACTTCTCATTTGCCCTGTTTTCAACAAAACCGTCTAGGGTCTATTAAAGACCAGTCTTGGGTTTAAAGCCATACAAATATGCGTGGTGCGGAAAGGCAGGGTAATGAGAAGTGGGGAGGGGGGGGAAGATCTGCCTTTCCACCAGAAAAGTTTAGCTCCCCATTTTTATTTTGTGCGAAGCCAAAATAACTCTAAAACACATTTCAGAACATCAACAAAGAATGTTACATCCCGTATGCATCTGAGCCTGAAGAAATGTCACGATCGAAAACAAAGAGGATTTGGGAGACTAGAAACCAAATGTTCTGATGGCACAGAACCCTTGACTGGCAGCCACGTTTCCCCTGCAGTCTGCGGCACGCAGTATAAGAAAATTATCTCCGTGAACCCTCGGTGTTCTCACCGGCAGGCCACAAATGAACGCTGTCCCGAACACGCACACTGTGATGCTTCGCTGAGAAGGCAAACCAAGAAATTTCCTCAAAAATGAATGTGTGTAGTATTTTCACGGCAATGCATCTAAATCAGAGGGACAAGAAGAAGTCGAGAGATGTTTAGAAAACCTGTCACTGAAAAATCTGAGCACCAAAAGACTGGAAAGTCTGTTGCCTAAACTGTGTTCTTTCTTTTCCACATCTCTTGGAATAGAAATGCCCGCGTATGGACACATCCTTAGTATTGGGGGGTTTTGTCCCCCCGGCCCCCAGAGCACCGTGTGTCTTGCTTCTCTGCACTCTCTGCCCCGAGGGGCACATGGCTTTGGCGGAGCTGAGGCATATGCAGCACACAGCAGAGCTCAGGACACAGGAGTTCTTTCTGACTGCAGAGCAGGTGTGTGCAGGCAGGACGGCTAGCAGGCCCCGTTGACATGGCCAGCGTTGGCACTCCCCTCCAGGACCTGCGTCAGCATGCAGTACTCTCAATCTCCTACACAAAATGATTTTGATTTTTAAAAACTGAGCCCAGAAATGAAGCAGAAGCAATGGGAGTATATATGAGGAGAACAGAGGTAAATGTTAGCCTGCTGAAATGCGGGGAGTGATACCAAGCATAACCTAACGTTTGCCAAAGCTCAGTGTGTCATCCCGCCTCTATTCTCACATTCCTGTTCCTGAGATACAGCATTTTCCTCCATAATGAACACCGTTCTCCTTTTCACTCAAAGGAAGACAAAGGTTACCAAGTTATTCAGAACTTGGAATAATATAGTTAGCTTCTCGACAGTGAGATAATATTAAAAGGTCTCTGAATTTGCCACCACAATAAAGCAGCTACAATCCATCTCTAATGAAACACAGGACATTCGCACTTTAAAACTGTGCTTCATAACTTAAAATAGTGTGTTTGTGTCTGTGTGTGTGTGTGTGTGTATAAAAGGGAAAATATATCCACCATGTTCATATTTCAAAAGAGTACCAAGATCTTACTGGAAACCGGATTGTAGGCCAATACCTGGCATCTGAAGAAAACATTATGGAGATTTGTAAT